CCTCACTGAACCTAGGGGAAAACAAGTAACAAGGAAGAGGGAAGACTATTCTGACATTTTTATGACTCTTACTAATCTTTCCCCAGATGTCCTGCATCTGCATAAAAAAAATAGCCCAGAGATTTACAATGGCAAGGAAGGAGAATCTCCAAAGAGATTCAATTTGCTCATCTAGCTGAAACTATTTATTAAGACCACCATATATTACAATGTACAATATGTACATTCAGGTCAAGACTAGCCAATAGCTAAATGGCCCTAATGCCCTCCTAGGCTTCATTATGTTTGATAGGTACTGAACAAAAGGAGATTATGACTGTATCTGTCTGCTTCTATATCTGATAACAAGATTAAGTGTTTGTCATTAGTGTTAGCTGAGATCCATTCTTTTACCGGTGCTTAAGTATCAGTTTTCCAGATAACTTCCATTAAATTATTATAAAGATTATTCTGTTCCTGGGAACTTGCAATTTCCTTGCTAAATTTGGCGAAAGCAGTTGTTATTATAACTAATCAGCTTTATAAAGAGAAAAATGAAACATTGGCTAAAGTTTAAGACCATTTTTTAAAGAGGAAAAAAACCCACCTGAAGCAGAGTGGGTGTGTCTATGGTACTGCTTGAGATCCATTTGTGACATTTGTGGGATCTTTGTGAAATAATGGATTAATTAGCTTTTCTTTTGTCCATTTATACTGAAAAGTTGTTTGTTGTTTATACCACAGATTTTGTAACTGGTGTACTATTTTTAGGGTTGGATGCAGGGGCACTTTGGATTTAAAACTTTGATTGTTGGTCTATTCTGTACAGGGTTCACCAGAGAGCAGCACCTGGGTCTGGTTAGTTCTTGGTCAGAAGATTTTTAGGGAATCCCAGAGTCGTTGGCTAGATTGGATGGCTGAAAAACATCCCTGACAGTAACAGTGGCAAAGAACTTTCTTATTGTTGTAAAAAAAAACAACCCCAAAAAAACCCTTCCCGAGTGTGTTGACTCAAAAATGAGCTTTTATCTTCATTCTAAATTTATAACATATAGAATTCTTTTTAAAAGGTGCAGCTGTGATCTCTGTCACAATGAATATTTTGCCTGCTGACTTCAGACAGCAAGGCCTTATTATTGCAGCCTCCTTCAGGCCTGGAAATGGTGATGGTTAATAAATGCATCAGCATTGGATACAAGGAAACCCAGATTTCTTTTTAAATATAAACCTAAAGGTATTGGCTTTTCTAGTGTTTGGGCTAGGAGAGTGAGAGTATTAAAAAGCTGTAGCTTCTTGAAAAGGAACATCAATTGGACTAAGCAGCTTGTTCTTATTTAGTGGAAGCTTTTTCCCAATCAATAAGCAAATGATGTTGTGCAGAGAGAACCACAATCCCCCAGAGCTCAAATGAAATTCATCTATAAGCCAGGAACCATGTGAATGAAGAGAAAGCTAGAGGCACTTTATACACAGGGCTTTGGCCTCATCACTTCTGTTTTGCAATTTGAGATGCTTGGGCAAGATAGGCAGATTCATAATGTCCATCTCTCAGGCTTTACCTCTCTCAAAGCAGCATAGCCTTTGTAGGGCCACACCACCATTTCTCTGGGGTCTCAAAATAGAACAGAGGGCCATTCTGCCATTAATTTATGTTCTGTAATTGAGCCTTTTAAATAAAGCCCCCAAAGACAACCATGGAAGGAAGCAAAAATGAGGAGGGAAACCATGCTTCCTTTTTTTTTTTTTTTTGGCACTTCCTCATTAATTGGAGGGGAAGAATTGCTCAGGCTGTTCAGCTGGAATTCTCAAAATTGCTGCCCTAAATGATTGTAGGCTTTTCTCCTATTGTTTCTAGATGTTGAGCTGATTGGTTAGCAAGTAAAAAACACTGGCTCTGTAAAATTATATCTCTATGCCTCTCTCTCTATATCTCTATCTCTTTCTCTAACTGTAAGACAAGAGAAACAAAAATGAATAAATGAATTTCCTCCACAGTTATTAAAGGCCCTGTCTAGCACTGTCTATAATGTTCTTTCAATAGCAGACAAACACATTTTACTTTCCTTGTCCTCTTTAAAGTCATTTTTGGACACTACTTCTTTGTCTTTTGTTTTCTTTCACTCTTCTGGATTTAATCATAATCTTATTATTTTAATGCTGCATTTTATGATATTCTATTTTTACTGTATCTTTATTTTTAGATTTATTTTTTTGCAAACCACTCTGAGTTTTCTTTTTTTGATAAATATATAATTTTGAAAGCACCACCACTCTCATTATCACTATTGGAGTCCTTCTGTGAGGGAGCTAGGAGGTTCCAAATGTGATTGATAAATAAATAAAAATCACTGCCTACAGTTTAATTAGCCTGGACAGAAAAAAAATTCTCCCCAACTCCAATGATGGAAAACTGTTTAAGGTTGGCATCGATAAAAACCAGCCCAAAAAAAACATATTGAGTGGCCTGCCTAAGATTGTTTATGTTATATACATGGGCATCATGCCATTGTTGTATTGATAAATCATCATAATGTGCATGTTTCAGCTGAAGACTGGAAACACTGTTATATAAATCAATTAAATATTGGACCCCATTATTGAAAATCTTTGACCCAAGTATTTCAGTGCAGCCTCATTTATGCACAACTGAGTTCAATCTCTCTCCAAAATGTCTATTCCTAATTCAAGCTGGACCGATCAATCCATCCAGCTTTTTTCTTTTGTAAACAAATGGAAAAATCTAGCCTGGGGGAAAAGCAAGAGATTGTTGTCTCCTGTTCCAACAAAAATATATCTTTTACAGAAAGCATCTATAAAGAATAGCTGCTTTCTCTGTTGCATTAATAAAGCATTTAAGAAATATTTTAAATACAATAATTAATTAAAAAAGAGCTTGAAGGAATATCATTAAACATCATCTTGGATAAAATCCTGCCCTGAAAAATATTTGTCAAGCTGTTCTCTGAAAACTTCAGAACATCAGATATTACTACCAATGTCACATTGCTCTAATGCTGATGTTAAAAGTTAAAATATTAAAATATTCCACCAATATTTTAGCAAAATATTTTCTAAAATGAAAAGCCTTTGCACATAACTTTGATTCCTGTGAGTAATTCTCTATTCTTTTTTTTCTTCTAAATACTTTTTTTCCTTTTTCTTAATCTTCTCACTAAATACATTCAATGCCCCCCATTTTTCATAATGTAATTTACCTTTAATCCTGCTACCATTCTCATAATCATTGTGCTTATTTGCAACAAAGTTTGATAGACATTGTATTATCAAGGGTACCTCATCACTGTCTTTTAGCTCAATTTGGGAATATATGCAAAACTAAAGACAACAGCAATTATTAGTAATTAACACTATTCCTATACATTTACAAGATGGTTCTATGATGGTTCTGTTCTCCTACCACTATAGACACAATTTTACATCATTTCTTGCAACAGTGTTTACAAAGCTGATTAACAAAAGATTTTTAATCAGCTTGGAGCTGTTATGCTGTTTTAATTTTATGCACTATGAAACATAATTATGAGGTAAGGTACACTAAACAATGTATTGTTGACTAAACCAATTATCTCTATGTGTATGTGAATCTTTGATCTCAACTATTCCTGACCACCAGTGAAAGAAAGCAGAATCTATTAGTGCTAGTATTATACAGATGTGTTTGTGTTTGTACTGTCAGTGATGTACAGCTGTATATAATTATGAATGTAATGTTCAGCTACAGAAATATAAAATGCAACTTACAGATTTTCCAGGTATGGAAACACACAAGACAAGTACACACAAGTCTATGTACTTTGTGGTCTTTACATACTCCACAACCTCGCTTTGCTATGTCCCATTTAGATCAACAGATAATAGAAAAAATATTGTACCGGCAAACCAAACGTAAAGGATAGATGATGGTACCCCATTCCAAAGAAAATAATGGATTTTGTCACACCTCTAGATAAGGGAAGAGCAAAGCTTCAGATTATTTCTCTGGGCTTGGAATTTAGAAACTGTCATCAACAGGGAAAGTATTGAAAACAGATTAAAAATAACACACAACTTCAAACTGCTCTGACAAATCTTCTTTTACAGCTCACAGCAAGGATAGGCAGGATGTCATGAACAAGAAAACCAAGGCTGTGGCTGTGAAGGAGAAGGAGGGAGCGAAGCATCCCTTTCAGAGACATTTGCCAGCTCTCCTGTAAGGTCAGTGCACAAAAAAGATTTTTCCTTTAGCATTTAGTTTTCTTCTCCCTCCCACTCAAGACAAAATTATTCTAGGGAGAAGAAGCAGTTCAAATCCCTCAAGAGTCCGTGACATGGGTCTGTCCTTTATCAGCGAAGGTGAGCAAACGGCACTCCACAGGCTACTGGAAGACTTGTCGGCCGTGGCTTCTTCTTTCTTCTAGCCCCTGAAGCCCCCAATTAACTTCTGAAAACTTGAGGATGTGATACAATTATACAATTCTGCTATACACCCCCGTGTTGCTCAAATGATGCAGAAAATTACATTACCCGGAGAATAAATTAGAAGATTGTCTAATTTGACCCTTATTCTGAGGCCTTGTTCTCCATATTCTAAACACTTTACGCTGTACTTGTTTTCTGAGAGGACAGCAAGTCTATATTTGTGGCTGTTAAATGAAAAACCTTTGAAGATTTTCACTGAGCATTTTAGAAAGGTTAAGAAATGAAACTGTGTAAGGGCTAGAATTGTTGCCATAGGTAAGAGCAAGAAAAATCTCCTCATCTGGAATTAGGAAGCGTCTTTTCTGTATTGAGAGAACTGACTCTTCCACATCATGTTACACGTTCTGAGGAGTTTAAAGGAAGAAGTTACTTCCCAACAAAGGCAGGCAACTAATAAGGCAGGCAAATTACTGACTTGTCTGCAATCAGCTTGAAGCTAACTGCACCACATCAAGAGCCTCATCAAGTGGACATTCAGCAAACAGAACAATAAAGAACTGCAAGTCACACAGAGAGAAAGCGAAAAGAGCAAAGAAACTTACAGGAAAGATTTCATATCCAAGCCTCGGTTCCGAATCTGCCCCACCATATGATCCCAGCTCCCAGGGTTGGAGCGGCTACGGCCACCAGCTGTCCTCTGCTTGGAGCCAGCGGAGGTCCCTTGCCGTGACTGCCCACTCCGACAGCCCCGAGGGTTGCCAGTGGCTGAGGAGGAGCTGGTGTGGGACTGCAGGTGACCCAGGCTCTGGCTGGTGGTGGGCTGGCTGTGGCCGGGGTTCTGATGCTGGCTGAGTGGCTGTTGGAGGCTTTGCTGGCGCAAGAGGGTGCGCGGGCGCTGGCATTTCGGGTCTCCTGCTGAGGTGGGGATATACTCAAGGGTAGTGGCTGTGGACATGGTGGAATCCTCAAAACTTACGGAGGTGGAGGGCAAGGAAAAGGAGAAAAAGGAGAAGAAGGTAAAAGGGCAAAATTGGAGGAAGGAAAAGCAGAGTGTTAAAGAGAAGATGCCCCAGCACAGCATTCTCTCAGCCAGGCATGGTTGGAAGCAACACACTGTCCTTGGGAGCTGTGCCTCTAGCTCTGAATTTTTGGCAGCGTAGGTCCCCTGCCTTGTGGCCATTTTGTACCCTTCCTTGATCACAAGATCCTTTCCAATCTTGGGGTTCAGCATGAGAATGTTCACACGCCACTTCTCCTTTTTCTTCTCCCAAGCTTGAAAGGAGAGTCAAAATGCCAATCCTCATTTCAAAACTAATTAGACTGCTTTCTGAAGACAAATTCCCTGTTGCCTGTGCTGGGTTGCTTGTGACATGTGACACATTCCACAACTGCTTTCCTTATTGGCTCTCTCTGAAGCCACACCATTTCTTGAAATGGTGGCGATATTTAGCACTGTCACCTATCCTGCTCTGTTTTATTTTCCCCTAGTGGAGTTGCAGCCCCATCTCTCTCTTGAGTAAGTGTAGCACTGTCCTCCAGAGCACATCATAATGTTCTTAGGTAACTACATGTAATAATGGTGTCTATCCTCTTTACTGTCAGCTTTATATGCTTTTGAGAACTGCCTGAGACCCAGAAACACACATTCTATAGCCTGCTGAAGTTGCAGTGAAAGCTCCAGGAACCTGTCAATAGACAGTGACAATCCTACAACTAAGGCAAGGGTGTTTCGGATTATTACAGGAGTGTCGGGGTTAATGTTTTCTGTTCCTGAACACTGTCCTATCTCCTCTTTGAGCAAGGAAACTGAGGGAACTGCTTGAGGAAAGAACTAGCTTTGCTGCTATCACATGTCTGTTTCTTCAAGCTTCTGTCATTGTCAAAGAGTTGCTAGAATTAAGGGGAGACAAGATGTGTTAGCAGGAGTTTAACCATTTGTTTCCCATTTATGACTGGCACTCTTCCACGGTTACTTTTCTCCTGCTCCCATCTGAGCTTAATTTTGGTCAGCTAGGGAAAAAGAAGCTGAGGAAAAGGTTCTGTAGAATTATGAGTATGTATCTGTAGGTGTTTCTTTTTAGCAGAGGAGATAATGAAGAGGAGATTCAACTAGTTGATCTTGCCCTAGCTCTCTTTGAAATGGACTTTTGTTTACTTCTCAACTGTTTGGTAAGGACCAGAACTTAACACCACAGGTTTCTTGCCATCACATCTTGTTCATCCCCCAAACGCAACTCAGAAATACATCATAAGGAAAAAGATCTGGGCTTAAGCTTTCCTCTAAACTCTTGATAGTAAGGGAACAACTAGCCCATTGTCTCTTGTCTGAAGGGAGTGCTCTGTTTTCTGGTGTGGCTATACCTGAATGGATGACATTCAGAGTTTTTGATCATAGGGCTATCTCAATGGATTCAGACAAATTGCAGTCTTTTTTTCATCATGGTCCTTAGAGCAGTGTTTCTCAACCTTGACAATTTTAAGGCATGTGGATTTCAACTCCCAGAATTCCACAGCCAGCAATGCTGGCTGTGGAATTCTGGGAGTTGAAGTCCACATGCCTTAAAATTGTCAAGGTTGAGAAACACTGCCTTAGAGGATTGGATTTGGAGGTCATTTCACATCTCACAAAGTCATACATTTCTGTGCAATGTTGAGCATATACTCAGTCTGCAGCCAAGAACCGCTTCTGAATGAGTGCATCTACATGATTATACATGTCTGTAAGCAAATGTGTGTGTTTTTTTTTAAAAAATGTAATGCTTGAAGTGGCCATTAGGAGTCTAACTACACGTGATATAGACACATATCTCTATAGAGCAGTGGTTCTCAACCTTTTTAATGCTGCGACCCCAACCGGTCGTAAGTCGAGGACTACCCAACCTGTCGTAAGTCGAATGTCATGTGTCTGAGTAATGAAACACTTAAAAGGACTTTCAGGCATGTTTTCTCTTTCCCTGCCCAGGAGCGCCGCGCATGCGTGGTTCCGCCCCCTGCGCTGGCCGAGGCGTAGCTGGCAAGCGGCAGAGACCGAGCAGGCCGACCACCAGCTGGCTCAGCCCGAGGGAGGTAAGGCACCCGCTGGAAAAGGGGAAAAAAATGGCGGACAAAAAAAATGGCGGACAGCCTTGCTTGGCGACCCCCGTGAAATGGTCAATCGACCCCAAATGGGGTCCCGACCCACAGGTTGAGAACCACTGCTATAGAGAGTGTGAGAGAGGTCCAGGGTATTTGTCTGAGTAAGAATTACCATTTTGGAAAAGGAAACTGGGAGTCCAAAAGCAGGGGAGTGGAAAAGGTCTGCCTTTTAAAAACACAAGGAACCTGGATAAGCCTCTTGGTGAGGCAAGTGTAATGAAGAAATGGCACACACATCTTAAAATACTTAAAATGCCCTGTGTGTGCTGTCAACTGTATTTTCGAAAGAGACTTTTCTAAGGTTACAAAACAAAAATGGTACTGAGTCTCTTCTCATAGATGTCTGCTCTATGTAAGAAGGCAGGAGGCCCCGCATAGATGGAGGGAGGCACGCAATCCTAGCTGGGACTGGGGGGGCCATGGCACTGATGGGGATCCAGCTTTCTCTGCTCGAGCTGGCCTTTGGCTTGCTGGGTGTGGGCGTGCTCTACCACTTCTACTCGTGCTTGCTAGTTGGCCACTTCGCCTCCTTTGTGCTGGGTGGGGCTGCTGCTCCAGGCAACGGCAGCGGCCTAATGGACCTGCGCAAGCTGCTGGCAGTGGCAGTGCGCGTGCCCACAGAGAGGGCTTTGAGTGCCGCCTCTGCCATGCGTGCCATAGGTCCGCCACCACTGCTCTATGAAGATTCATGGAATCATAACTGCTTACCTGGTAAAATATCTGAGAAATTCTGATTTCTTTTATTACTATTGGATCAGTATGATACAGCTTCTGTTGAGTGTAGCTTAAATTCTACTATATTATCTGTGAAAATTGGGCAGACTTTGGCTGCCCATTGATGATGTCGGCACTAACTGTAATATAGTAGTCTATTTTGTTCTGCTTTGTTCTATTTATTTTAATGTTTTAGTTTTTAATTCTGGTCTGTGACTGTAATAAAAGATTGACTGATTGACTTTAATAGATGCATCTGCACATAACGTGTAGTTAGTCGCCTAGTTGGAAAAAAACCCAGGAGGGATAAGTAGGAAAAATATAAGATGGCCACACACCTGTAGATGTGAGAGAACCCGTGTAGGTATGATCTGTAGCCTGTGGACAGTGAAGCACAGGACAGAACACATAGCTTGAAAGACAGGACAATAAGTACAGAAAGCTGTCACAACTAACCGCATAGGGCAAGCCATTGAGTATCACAATGCACAACATAGCTACCCATACTGCCAAAGACAAGAGAAAAACAGGCATGGTTGATCATAATGACATAAGACAACGCAGAAGGAAGCATGCAGGGATAAGAAGGAATTCATGATCAAGGCTGTTCATTTTCTATGAGGCTGCCTTTGCACATTTTGCTAGGAATCAAATATGCTGTGCAAGTTTTAAATTACTGAAAATATCTGAAGAACTGGGGGGGAGGAGGGGGAGGATGTTACCTCATATCAAATAACTTCATCAACTCCATTGACTTGCCAGGGGCTCAGGCAGGCATCTTTCTCCAGCGCTAAATGCAGGACTGAATATGAGAACATCTATATTCGAAGCTATCTTATACATCTATTTGTCAACGCTGTGACAATGGATGTTGTCGCTCTGACAACTGAAAAACCAGCAGCCATTTTTTCCTCTTGCTTTTAATGTGCCTTTCTATTATTTTAGAGTTCAGATGTAGATGGGAGGGATGGGGTAAATGCCTGAAGGTTTAGCTAGCCATAACAATGTAGAAGCGTGGGAACTCAAGGTCGTATTCTGATAAGCTTTTGGTGGGCTGAGAGGCTGGAGAGAAAAGCCCACGTTTTGTGCTAATTGGGGAATGTGATTTATGACAGCTCTTGCGGGGTGGGAATTGCAATTTGTTACTTTATATCTGGGAGGAGGGAATCTCATTCTTGGGTTCAGCTATGTAAGTGACAATACTTTGTTTCCTAATAAAACGTTCTTTAAGGAAGAAATCTTGCCTTGAAGTTCTTTTAACTGGTTTCATCTATCGGAACCATGACACTATTCTTGCTTCAAATACTACATTTTTTCCCACAAACTCCAATATTGAGATCAAGTGCAGATTGCAAGGACCATGCATCTGCATAATTTATTTGAAGCACAGAATATGTGTTTTGGTAGAATATGTTTCCATTTAGCTTCTTTTTTTAAAAAAAAACAAACTTGAACTCCATTTATAAACAACCATGCTTGCAATTAAACTGAAAACTGGACTTTTGAACAGGCCAAAAAGAAGTATGGAAAATGCATGACCAAATGTAAAGCAGTAGAATACGATGGAGTGGTTGAATAAGCAAACTGGTGAAAGTATTCTAGTTGGGAAGGATACTTCTGGGTACAGTATTCCCTGAAAGGCATGGCTATCCATTTGTCTCAGTATCTCACAAAGGCAGCCACTCACTGAAACAGGAAGATGAACATGTGAAAGCAGAGAGGAGCACAGTCAGCTGATCACCCACCAGTCTTATTGCTCCTAACATTTTTTCTAGAGCAGCCAGATGGAGTCAGTAGTCATAAAATAGTCATTTGTCACTTTGTAAAACGTAAAGCCAAACCAGCTAAGTATAACTAAGAATATTCAGAAACTTAAGATCTCATAGCAGTTGGAATCTAGCATATTTTGCCTGCTGCTGACCCTGGCCTGAAACCATCTTAACTCAAATCAGTAGAATTGCTTAGGGAAGTCATAGCAAAATAATGGTTGAGTTTTTGTAGGGTGAAGAGTAATCAGGAGATAGATAGATAGATAGATAGATAGATAGATAGATAGATAGATAGATAGATAGATAGATAGATAGATAGATAGATAGATAGATAGATAGATAGATAGATAGATAGATAAAGAAGAACTGTGAAAATCTGGGTAAAAAATGACTCACGTCTCTCCCCATTTCCTACTTTAGTACAGGTTTTAAGTACTTCTGCTTATGTACTGGCCACCTCTAGCTTAACCTCCTTCCTGCTTAACAAAGGCAGAAATTGGCCTTTCTCCTCCCTGCTTGCCCCACAGGTAGTGACCTCATTTCGTTGTTTTTTTTTTTTATCAAATCCTAAATTAGTTCAATTTTAAGCCTCTCACTCAAGGAAACTAAAATTGGCTCCTTTGGGTTGGGAATAAGTAGAACACATGCATTTCTATCAAGGTAATAAATGTGTGGGAAGTAGCCCCAGTGCTTTAAGGTCTGTACCTGCTATACCTGGCTCTCTGACATATCTATAGATATCTCTGATGGTTCCCATCTAGTTTCTGCCACAAGGCCACTGTGCAAGCAGACAGACAGAAGGGCTATCTCAGACAGACAGACAAAGCACAGTAGCACTCAGTCACAAAAAACGCACATGCCAGATACAGAGACAAGAGTCTTCATTAGGAGGGAGATATATATATATATATATATATATATATATCTCCACATATATATCAGATTGGTTTACTCCACAGAAAGTGCTATATGATCAAAAACCCTCTATGTCTGGGACTAAATGTCTGGAAAATATTAATATACTGCTTATGTATTCATTTACACCCTGGATAAATACTCTCTTCCCCAAATATTCATTTATATTTTTGGCACAATAATAAATGGTAACAGAATAGAGGGAACCTGATTTTTTGCTTTGAAATAGGTAGAATAGAGTCCTGGAAAGTATCACAAATCTAATGGTTTTAAGATATAGTCTAAGAAAGTAAACTGCGCTGCATGTACATTCTGGATAGCTATAAGACCAGCAATGGATGGTAGACTTCAGAGTAAATGATTCTGTGGGTACATATACCTTAGGACAAATCTTTGCTTCCAGTTATGGGGATGATAAAATATTCTATCATTGGAATTGCTGTAAGAAACCTTCCAACTTAATCTTGCCACTTCTGATAGTGACATGTATTTCTGATATTACTCTGTTTAGATACCGTGAGCTTGCAGTCAAAAATAGTGGGAAACAGCATTATGAAACAACTTCCCTCACACATTTCCATATTCATTAACATATATAAAGTCATCTCTTGAAGAGCTAGAGATCAGAAGAGCTGCCCAAGGGATGCTGATTCCTTACAATTCCAAAAGAATTCTAGGGCACACACTGTTTAAGTTAAGAAGATCACTGCTTTGAGAGGAGACCACAGGGAGATCCTATACTATATCGACCACACTGAATTCCATGAATTCCATCAAAGAGTTGTCAAATATACTTAAAAACTCCAAAAGAAAGTTTCCAAATTGTTGGAAATGAAAAAGATCCACCTTGAAGAACTTTTCGCTGACACTGGAACTTACTAGTCTGACAACTGGTCTGGTGGGGAGGACAGGCAGTAGGACAAGATTTACTGGGTCACTGACAAACACGTTGGGCTCCATGGGTCACGGGAAGAGCCATAATGTAATCATACAAATCACAGGAGCAGCAAGGTGAGCTTGGCTATGGTGACAATGGCAGCTTTGTCAGCTCTGATGTCTCCAAACTTACAAGCCTTTAATACTGATTTAGCAAAGCACATTTTATCCTCGGTGGACTAATGAAATATAATTATTTTGAAAATAATGAGTGGCAGCCTGATACACCATTTTATCCATGATAAAATCATTATTCTATTACTTCATACAGCTTGAGATTTGTATGCTGTTTCCATCAAAGCAGCACATGCTGATATGGAGACTGCCTTTGCCTTGCCTCAGGGGTGGGAACCGCATAGCACAAGATCTACCAAAGCTCTTTCATCATGTGCAGCTTTCTCCATGTATAACTATTAGAAATTTGCACTTCAGGTTTTATGGGGTTCTCAGGAAAAGATTTTGGACTGGTTATCCCTCTCTAGCAAGACCTTTATTACTGCCTGTTCTCCTTTCTACTAGCTTGATCTCTCTTCTTGGAATCAGTCCGTATTGTCACACATAGAGAAAGTGGAGGCTACTGCCTTTGTCTCTGTTTACCTAATCAGAGCACGTGAACAAGCAAAGGGAATAAGAGGAGGAGTAGAGTCTGGCAATACCAACATTGCTTGTAAGATGTTGACCACCAAAAGTCTCTGGTAAATACAAATTATCTTAATAATTCCATAAAAGAATCCTTATTAAGAGAAGGTTGCGCATTAGGGCTTAGGTTTATATTTAGCACTAGTATTCAGCCAGACTCATCTTCCATTGTTTCTTTCTTGCAGATGCTTTTTTTAAAAAAAATGATGAAATTAAGCAAGCAAAATGTGATAAATTATGGATAACTGAGGTATTTTTTTCCAGTTTAGTTACAAGAAATTTATTTATCATCAAATATATAACCCGTGTTCCAGGTCATCAGTCTTTAGCCTATGACTAAGAACATAATGCGGTAATAGATTTCACAGATAAATTCTTTAGAGGGAGCTACTTAGGGAATATCTGATACAACAAGTGCTTTACTCGTCGGTTGTTCCTTCCCTTGTATAACAGTTCACCAGTTTTGAGATATTGCAATGTGATTCTCTTGCAAAAGAATAAATAACGAAAGCTGGATTTAAGTTAGACTTAGAAATTGATGGATTATAGGAACACATATTTTTTTGCTTTTGTGACTGCAGAAGGATGGCAATAAATCACATGACTAAAGAGTATATTGTGACTCACAGTATATTTTACTCTGAAGCACCCAGCAATATAGCCATTGATGAAAAATCCGTGGTCAATTGAAAGATTTTTAGATTGACCCAACAGGAGAGCAGCTTTTACATGCTTATGTGCAATCTATCTCAAAGCATTAAAAAGTCAAAATGCTCTTCTCTCAAGCCTTTAACCATCCTTTGTGTGTGTGTGTGTGAAGAACACAACCGTCTGCCTCAAGATTTATTTATCCCCACCACACTATGACTATTCTGTTATATTGTCATCATGACAGCCCTTATATTTTTTATGTGCTTGTCTGGACTTCAGCAGAAAGATCATTATGGGATTTGGACATGTTTATCCTCCTAGCTGCAATGTCTTTGGGGCCCGCAGGCCAAGTCACGCCAGGCCTGGGATGCACTCTCACTCACTTGGATAAGCTGAGCTTCCCTGTTGCTAGGTGGCTCTGCACCATTTGCCATCGGCCTCTCCCCGCCTTCCCAATGCTGGGCTCGCTGTGGGCAGACACGCTGCTCTTCATGCCGTCCTCTCGGAGCTGCTGCCTCTCTCCATGGCATCCTTCTCGCTCTCCTGCCAACCCAGCTGTGGCTGAGGCAGCCAACTTTGCACCTGACAGCAATGAGCCACTATGGTATGTCAGGAAAGGAAGGTGGCAGGTGGCAATGAGAAGGAGGTCACATGAAGAAGAGGAGAACAGACAGAAAGAGAGAGAGAGAGAGAGAGAACGAGAAGAGAGAGACAGACAAGGGACAGACAGACAGACAGACAGACAGACAGAGAGAAAGAGAGAGATCAGCACTGCAAAAGAAAGGGCCAAGTAGAGCCTTTGTCCCAATCAAAGGCAGCAGGCAGCCCTGGCTTGTGAGGTTATGATTGCAGCCAAAGTTAATTCTATAGACAACGAAGGGTTGAACAATGGATAAGACCGTTAGGAGAGGCACTGTGCAGGCGAAGGGAGAAAAAAGCAATGTTAGTGAGAGAGCTTACCACTACCATCACCACCACCACACAGTGCAGATGCAGAGAATACGCTGAGAGGGTGACCAAAACGGGCAACCCCATCCTGTGCTGCAGAAAAGGAGTGGGTGGGTGAGGGAGAGGAGAGCCAAAGGAACCAGGGGACAGGGAGGGAAGGGGCTGGCCTTTCTCAGTGAGTTGCTAGGCAGTGGTTCTCAAACCACTGGAAGCACCATATCAGCCTAGCAGGGAAAAAGCCTGGGCTAAGAACTTAAGTAAAAAGAAATGCAATGGCTTTTGATGCAGATTTAAGGGTGAAGTTGCTACCCAGTGCCAACCCTTTCAGTTGGCTGAAACCATAATGGATTTATTAGGTCCAAACCCACCTTTTAAATCGGCTGTATGATTGACTACTTCAAACTTTTATGAGTCAATGACTTAATCTGGTTTCAACGAACAGTATTTTTCATTTCACTGGGACCAAAAATTGAGCCCCAGGTAATACAGTTCCTGGGATAACGGAAACACAAGTCTGCTATTCCAAAGGTACCAGCCAGTAGTTGTGAACCACTGAAAGAGCAGGATAGAAGGAGAAGGGAGGAGGGGTTGCTCGTCTCCATGGCCATATGTCCATGGGGAGGGAGTAGAGTGCAGGGGAGGAAAAGAAGAGGAGGGGGAAAAGGAAAGCAGGAAGGGGTAGGTGGGAAAGAGGTGTGCATATACTCACTATGTATGATCAAATCAGTTAAAGAGAGACTCACTTGAGGGAAAGTCGTGGATCACCATATGGGGCGTAAGGTGATATGTTTAGTATAAACTCCTTGGGAGGGTAGGAACTCCATTTCTGCTGCACTGTGTTGTCATTGTTATTCCAAAAGTCTCTGTCTAGATCACTAGATCAGCCGGTGAGAGGGGAGAAAAAAAAAACAAAGGGAAATACAAGAGAGAGAATCTAAATTCCTGCAAGGGGAGGAAGGAGGAAAAAAAAATAACCCAAACGAGAGACATCAAGGTTAGTGTTGACTTCTCCTCCTGTGGAAGGTAAAACTTTGTGCCTCATACCCATGTGTCCACACAAACACACATACACACTCAGATGATATATAGGTAAGGCAAAGCTGAAAAAAGATAGGAGCAGGCATCTCCAGAGCTGATGGTAAGGGAGAATGAGACAGAGAAAGAGAGAGAGAGAGAGGGAATGCCTGTTAAAGAAACCTCTGTTAAATGACTCTAAGATTTGTTTCCTCGGGACTCTACCTTGTCTCTTACCTGTATTCTTCCTTTCAGGGGGACAGGATTTCTGCCTTTCTGTATTTTTTGCATCCAAATTAGGTAATGTGGAAAACAAAGCAGCATCTTGGACAATAGCAACACTTTTTATAAAATGGTGGGAACATTAGCTAGATCTATTGCTGTTGTGCAGAGAAAGAATCTACTCCGGTTTCCTGTGCAGTGTTTGTGCATCAAACTGGAGAAAAGCACCTCTTTGCCCAATTAGAAAAGATCCTTGAGAATAAGTTAATTGGCAAATCCCATGGGATAATTTCCAAAAGAAAATTATCTGAAGGTAGTTATTTAGATTTCTTTCATCAGATTATAATAAAGCGATGGTGGGAAAACAGCTTCTGATACCGTAGACCACGGTATCATGCTGCGGCGTCTCGGTGAGTTGGGAGTCGGAGGCACCGTTATGCGGTGGTTCTCCTCCTTCCTCACCGACCGTACGCAGTCTGTATTGGCAGGGGGACAGAGGTCAACTCCTAGACCCCTAACTTGTGGGGTCCCTCAGGGGTCGGTCCTCTCTCCCCTTTTGTTCAATATTTAT